TTCTCCGAATTTTGAATCTGAAATCTCAAAATTCTCAACCACTTTATTGACCATTAAATCATACATTTGTGCGGTCAAACTCTATAAAATATGCATCCCCAAATTAATGAATTTACTCATTCTTACATTATGCACAATATCAAGTAGAAAAAAAGAAAGCACCAACCTATAAAGAATGTTGTGGCGTTAGTTGCTCCGGTTCACCGAGCCAAGAAGCTCCTTGCCAGAGCAGTGAAGTATTTAATTGGAATAGATTTTAGGAGAAAGGTCAAAAATGTCCTTAGGAACAAAAATGCATCCGTTTGTAGTTTGGTCCAAAAATGCTTTTATTGTCAATACTTTGGTCTAAAAATGCCGTTATTGTTATTTAATGGGTAAAAAAATGCTCATTTTCCAAATGAATATATTATTTATTTTATTTTTAACAGATTCTTTTTTCTAATAATATTTTTTTTAAAATTAGCAGATGTTTATCTTACTTCAATTAAATAAAAATGAAAATTTTTCTTATTTTTTTATAATTATTTTTATCGTAATATAAATATAAATTAATGATGGATATATTATGATATTTTATATATGACATATATTATATGTGAAAAGGGTACATGAAATTATTCTATTTTAATTGATAAAATAAAATTAAGAAGAAAAAAACATTTCATACATTTTTATTTGTTAAAGTGATTTTAAAAGATAGAGAACAAGAGCATGGTTCTTTAATAATATTTTAATCAAGAAGATGTGTTTAAAAGAAAAAATAACTAGGGAAAAAGGATAAATATACCCCCGAACTTTGGAAAATGGTATGCAGATACCCTTCGTCATACTTTTCGTCTATTAATTAGAGTCCTTGCCGTCCAATAACTAGTGCACATTTGCCCCTCCCACTAACGGAACACTCATTTTGTACACATGGCGCAATCCTACGCCTCAACCCGGATTGACAAATTATTTAACCCAAATTTCAAATACCCATAATAATTGTACCAAGAAACAAAATCTTATATAATATAAATAAACAAAGATAAAACTAATATGCTATTAAGCATAAGACCTACAACTATAATTTTTTATTTGTTAGCTTCGAACATGAGAATAAAGACTAAATATTTAGGCATGTAATATATCAATGATTAAATTCTATGTATACTAATCTACTTCAATTATCTACTTAAAAAATTGTCATGAAATTACTTCAATTGGAACAAAAACTAAACAAAAAAGAATTTATTTTAGAGGAAGAATAAATAATTTAAAATAAGAAGAGCTTTTATGCGAGATAGTTGTAGCAAACTATCAACCACTTTTCACGTCACCTCTTGACCCTTCTTCTATTAATTCATTATGATCTTAATTTTCAGAGATCAAAAACGATGAAATACTCTGAAAAAATTGTTGTTTGATCCACTCTGCTCACAACTTATTTAGATGAAATATTCTTCATTTTCAGAGATCCAAAAAAGACAATTGAAAATCGGATCGCACAATGAAATTTTTAATTTTCTTAGCCATCTATAGAATATTTTTATGAATTTCAATTCTGAATAGAGACATTGCAGATTTCTGATTTCTGATTTCCAAAATGTATACAAACAATTAAATACTACTCTTAGTAAAAAAAAACGGATAATTTAATATTACTATTAAATACAATAATTATTGTTAGTGGAAGATGGAAAGGCAGGAGGTTATCTAATTAAGCAGGTAAACGATTGGGTTTGGGAGAAGGCCAATTGACGTGTCATAATTGGCTGTGACAATGAAGAAGGCAAGGACTATTAATTGGGAAAGGAGAATTAATGTAATGATTGTTACCATTATCCAGGTGTTTAATTAGATGGAGAAAATAATTATTTGATAGTAATTATATACAGAGTATAAAAATTCAAAAACAAAGAAAAAATAGATAAATAGGTTTTTCGTTTTAGAGAGCGCCACATCAGCATGCCTAACATCCAACTTTATATATATATATTGATTGATTGATTGATTGGGCTTATTCAACGCGCACCTTAAAATGAATTATATTATTTAATTTAGTGGAGGAGATCGCTATTGTGATTGCATGAATCTCTTTTTCCTCACTTCCATCACTTTTTTTTGGTATCTAGGAACGAAACGACTTGGCAAATAAACATAAAGACACACAATAAAATGAGATCTATATGTGCTAGTGTTAAGGTTGAAGTTTAATAGAGTGAATTTTCTAAAAGAATTAACGTATGAAGGAAGAGAAAATTTGAATAGATTGTTGAAAATGTATATCAATTATGATTACATGTCAAAGTGTTGCAAAAATTACAAATTACAAAATCATGATAAACAACAATGCTATGTGATCAATCCAAAATTATATCCAAAGAATGAAGAGGAATACCATAACAAAAAACTTCAAAAAGAAAAAAGAAAAAAATCAACTTGTGAAAAATATAACAGATGAAGAAAATGAGGGAGAACAAGTAGAAAAAGGGCAACAAAATGAGAAATAACATACTAAATAATCAAAGAACATAAAAGGAGTCGGGAGAGGTAAATTGTATGAAAAATGTAGATAAGAACAGAAGTGGAACCTAAGAAAAAAGACTCAAGGAACATAAATGGTGGGTATCCTGAACAAGTTTGATGCACTGTCAATGAAGGAGACAAAAAATAATACTCCATAGGTATTCTTGTCCACTTTCTTTAGGTCTTAGCAAGACGAACCATGAAATTCATATGTATATATTATTTTACACGACTTAGATTTTAGTTAATTATCTTAACTATTCACCTAAGAGAAGTAAATTGCCTAACACATTTCAACAAAGAAGTAAAGAGCAATTAGTAAAGAACACACTATTTTTACGTGAAAATCCAGGGGTCACAAAGGTGTAAAAAACACGACTTGTACCTCTACATTATTTACTCCCAACTGCACTAAATCACAATGAGTCGTTCAACAAAATATTACAAACCTATGTAACTTAAGGAATTATAATTATAATTCATAAATGTCACAATCAACTAGATTATCGAACGTACTTCAAGTTATAAATTCAAATTACAACTCTTACAATCCTAAGAGCTAACTCTAATTCCTAAATTCAAGTTATGAATTTAGATTAAAACTCTTACAATCCTCGGAACTAACTCTAATTCTTAAATTTTAACACAAACCTTCCAAGGTACCTGTTCTCAAGTCTTCGAGTTATCTCAACTTAAAGAGAACACTCATAATTCAGTTTATAACTCATTGAACTGAGATTGCATCAACATTACAACTCAATGAAAAACTCTTAATACATAAACTCTGTAATAGGACCTGGTCTCTCAATGTGTTCCTTCAGTTTGCTAGTAGCACTTGTGAAGTCAATTTTTCAATTGGTTTTGCTTTGTAAGTGCACACGTATTATGAACAACTTCACTTTATTTAAGCAAGAGTTGTTCTTCACTTCAAACTCCATCTTAACTCAAACTCTCTAAGTACTTTGAGTTCTACTTCAAGTGAGACTCCTTCAATTCAAACCTCTTGTCGCTTTAGACTCTTTCTTCAAATCAAACTCCTTGATTCTTTTGTGTTGTAGTTAAACTTCAATTCTTCAATTCAATACATTTTTTTTGAGTTTATAAAAATATAACATTATCTGTTTCTTGATTTCTGCATACTTGTCTTTATTTATTTTATAATCTTGCTACGAATTTAGCTCCTTGTGACAATGTATTATTGAACTAGCTTCACTTACATGTTCATATTACTATGCCAATAATCAAAATTGCATAGAATCCAACAATATCCTCTCCTACTTCCGTTCAAGAATGAGCATCTTTTGAAGCATTTCTTTAAGTCTCTGGTGCTCCTACTTTATTTGCTGGCAATTCAAATACTGCAATGAACTTAATAATATTTCGCTTTGTTTATCCTATCAATAATGTTATCTCAAATCGTGATATATCTAAAATGTATAAAATATTTAGAACTGTGAGTCCCAATTAGAATGATTTTGATTAGTTCATTAACACGTGGAACACACACGCCCCTTAGGACACTTTCACCATCAATCATTGCCTCCTTGGCCCTTTCTTGCAAGACCTTTTCATAAATCTTGCTTAACTTGAATATCCTCAAATTATCTATCCTTAATCTAATCCACAAATAAAAATCTAACTTGCACACGAGCCAATACCCCATAGGATCCTGGCAACTCAAGCTTCGTAAGACTATTAGCTAGAGTATAAACCTCTCTAGCTAATAGATACTTTGTAACTTCTAAACAAGCTAGGGTATCCATGCTTTTAAACTTACATCAATCATCAAATTGATCTTATTTGAATGATATAAGATAGTCACATTATATTCTTTTAGTAACTCCATTCACCTCTGTTATCTCAAATTAAGATCCCTCTAAGTAAACACATATTGTAGGTTGCAGTGATTAGTGAATACTTTACTGCAAACACCATAAAAATAGTGCCTTTAAATTTTTAGATAAAACATTATAATTGTCAGCTCAAGGTTATGCGTAGAATAATTCTTTTCATGCACTTTCAACTTTGTTAAAGGCATACACAATGAATTGTTCATTCTGCATCAAAACAACACCCATATATTAATGTAAAGTGTCGCAATAAACAACATCTTTACCTTTCACGGGAAAAGAAAAGAAGAGCGGATGTATGATCCTTAACAACACCAATATTGAATGTATGATCCACTTGAGGTCTTTGACAATTTCGTTGCTTTAAAATGGTCATATCACTTATACCTTCCTTTTACATCTATCCATAATTAAGTGGATCTTTCACGATAAAGTATTCAACCTTATGTCTTTCATCTAGATCATAATGAAGAAAAATCACAGCGTTTGCTTTATCCTGACTTGACGTTTCATTCTTATTTACTATTTTTATATTTTTTCCTCTCATTTTATAACATTAACCTAAAATTAATTTTACAATTTGTAATTCTTTTATTCATATTTAAACTCCATCACTATGGAGCACTTCCTTCCAACAAAAAATCAAAAAAAGAAAAGAAACAGATATAGAAGTTCAGCTGTGAGCCTCTGACCATGCCAAATAGTGAAGAGGTTAACAAAACTCCAAACCTCTTTCCATTTTCTTCTCCATTTTTTTTATATACAGACAACTTCTCCTGCATTTCCATTCCTATCAGATCGTTAAGCAATCGCCATTTCCATCCAAAATCCTCCGCAAAATCTTCCATTTTCTCCCTCCTCTACTCCGCTGCTGTTTGACTCAAAGAATCGACTCGGTATCAACTCAGTGCTTGAACTCATCCGATTGGTTCAGCCATGGCTTTATCAGCCTCCGACCTGCCGGCAATGTATTCGTTGCTGACTAATTCACTCAGCGGCGAACAAAGCGTGCGTAAACCAGCTGAAGCAGCCCTAGCTCAATCAGAAAACCGGCCGGGTTTTTGTTCTTGTCTTATGGTAATTCTTTCCCTCTTTTTTACATTTGATTTTTTTTATTTTAGGGTTTTTGAAGTACATTGGATGATAAGTTGTGGAATGGTGATGTTTTTAACATTGTAGGAAGTGATTACTGCTAAGGACTTGGCGTCTCAAGTGGATGTTCGATTAATGGCATCGGTCTACTTCAAAAATAGCATAAATCGGTATTGGAGGAGCAGGCGTGATTCCACGTGAGTTATTCACGTTGATTTAGTTTGTTACTCAGTTGTGCATTTTGTGGGTTTATTGAATACAAGTTCTTTTTTCCTCCTCCTAATCTTCAATTGTTGCATTGTTCTGTAAAACTATGACCAAGATAGTGTCATCCCAGTTGTATCTGGAAATCCATAGTTTAGTGGAGAACAGAAAAAGAGTAATTTATTCCCCAAACACACATATATATGTATGCATGTTTGTTATATGTGTATCTGTATGTATGTATGTATGTGCAAGATAAGTTAGTGTACTCCCCATTATGGGATTCCTTCGAAATTGCTAATGGATATGATTTGTTTTCAAATTCTGGAAATTAAAGGATCGAGATGGAACAAATTGTAGGAATCCTAAGAATTGTTGTACTCCTTTTATTCCAAAATGTTTCCATCCTTGAAAATCTTCTTATGTATGTATATTCTATATGTGTATAAGTTAAGTTAGAGTACTCCCCATATTTTACAGAAAAATCTTTTGAAATTGTTTTCTGGACATGACTAGTTCTCAAATTCTGGAAAGCTAAAGGATCCAGATGGAATGAACTCTAGGAATTTATTACACTATTAACCCGAACTGGTCATGTCCTTTGTAAATCTTTGTCCTATTTACTGCAGAAATTCCCTATTCTAAATGATGTCCTAAATTATCTTTGACTGAATGGTTATTTGTTCAAGGAAATGGACCACAATTTTGGGACATCTGAAAGGAGAATAACAGACTGTAAATTTGAGATTGATGAGTATAAGTTATTAGCATATTTTCCTTCTTCATTGTCTAAAGTAAAGTCATCAATCAAAGAAAATGGTCAGGTTATATTGTTCAGTGAAGGAATCATTCTGAATGCACTTTAACTTATATAATTTATTTCCAAGAAATTTATCAAAAGAAATGACCCATGTACGACTTACAAGGTAATATTAGTTTGAAACTTGTCAAAAAATGAAAAAATAGACAGTGTTATTTGGGATATCAAATTATGTGTCTTTCCATCTATGTGGCTCGAGCTCTTCAAAAATGTCAACAGTTGTGTGTTGGATTCTCCAAAAGTAGTGAATTTTTGAAGAATCCGACAAAGGTGCATCATCAGAAGTGAAGAGTCCCGCAACTTATCTTTCATAATGCAGACAAATGAAATTCTATGATAAAATAAAATTATGGAAGTATAGTTACAAATGCAAAGGAGGTCAATGTGTGGGAAAAGAGGATGTCACTGTCAAGATGATGATGGAAATTTTCAGCAATCGCCTGCAGTAAGATAGGTTATTATTCAATTTTGGTGGCTTGATGCAACATATGAATGTGGATTGAATTTTCAGATTGCTTGTTCTTCCCACGACTCTAGCTCTGATTTGCCTTTTTATGTTCCATGTGTTGTGATTTCTCCTTCCTGCATGTTTATATATTTGTATTACTGCTGTAAATGACTATTTGCTTATCTCTGGAACATCTTGACAGGGGAATTAGCAATGAGGAGAAATTACATTTAAGACAAAAGCTGTTGTCACACTTGAGGGAAGAGAATTACCAGGTGATGCAGATTTATGTTTGGTTTTGTAATGAGCATACAGATAGCTAGAGCTCTCTTTTTTTCTCTGAAAATTGTCATCCCCGTTATCGACATTTGTTGCTTCAACTGCTCTCACTACTTAGAGATCTGAATAATATTGTCATTGGTGGACATATTTGTAAGTGCTTTCCTGATTTCTCAACTGGGTGCGTGATTGCCTGGTGCAGATTGCCCTTACATTGTCTGTGATCATCTCAAAGATTGCTCGGATCGATTACCCTAAAGAATGGTATGGTGTTCTCCATAACTATTCAAATTACAATAGATTATTGAAGAAGAACTATTTTATTCTTTTGTCTTTTATGATTATTATCTTGACTTCTTAGATTCTTTTTAGGACAAAAAGAGATTATAAAAAGAAATATGAAATCACTAGATGTTGGGGTGAACATTTTAGATGTCTAAGAGTTAATCCCTAACCGACAGTTACAAGGCCCTTTTGTCTGGGATAGATGCGGCCTTGAAGTCTCCTTGCTCATTCTGAAGATTTAAATTATTCTGGTGAAAGGATTTTTTTGCTTACCCACTCTTAATATGAGATCAGCTTTTTAACTGGTCATTTCACATATAATTCATCTGACAAAGCTCATTTTCCCGCATGCCTTTAATTCTTTCAACCGATTTGGCAACTTTCAACTCTACAAAGTTAGGTGATTTACCAGGTTGACGTCTCACTTGGCCCATACCCTGAGCCGTCGACCAGAATTGAAATTCACTTGCTTATACTGTCAAAGCTATCTCAAGTTTCACAGGATGGTGATTCTGCACCATGTATATCAGCGAGAAATATCATGCTTCCGATTTCATTGGGATAATTTAAGGTGTAAATGCAAATCCAAATATGAATATAGCTCTAGTTGATAGAGCTGAAGAGTGGCTGGAGTCTCATCCAATAGGCCCCAGAGAAGTTAATGGTTTCAGTCTCTCAACGATTTTCTTGATTACCAGGTTGAATGTTGTTGATTTAAAAGGAAAAACTAAACCACTGATGTTTTGTTTTTGAATTGGTTCTTGATAGAACCAAGTTTCTACCAGCTTTTACATTTATGTGAAGCAACATGTAAAACAAAGGTCAACGGTCTATTCTGTTCAACAAAAGAAACTTATAATTTAATCCATCCTATACCAAAATTCTTGTTTTGATGCATTTGTCTGGATCAGAATTGAAGAGCGTGTCAAGGTGAAGAATTATCCTTAACAGTATTACTCTATATGGTTACGACAACACTTGTTTTTTTCCTTCTTCAAAAGTTATCCAACGTAAATAGATTGTCTGTTTAGGAAGAGCTTTACTTAGGGTTCTAATGCTTCTTAGTCCTCGATAAAATGCTAATGAATTGGTAATTGCTCTTCAACAAGAAAAAGAGCAAATGAAGGAATTACGGACCTAGATTGGGCCCTGAAGTTAATACCCATTTATATGATCCTTATAGACACTTACTAATGTAAAGGATCTATTCATTTTTACTCTTGACAAGTTTGGTTCTGTAGAGGTCCTTATTTCTCTTTTTTCTTTTTACTGCCAGTTTCACAACCATATCTTTTTTTTGGGGTTAAGTAGTATCACCACCAAATCTTAATGTTCGATTGTTTGATTTTATTTACAATTGTAGTGTTTTTTGTTATAGCTTATTATCAGCTATCAAATATTAACTAGCCAAGTCAAGCAGAAACAACGTAGTCAATTGCATTTGAATCAAATCAGTTGGTTTAAAATTTCCCGTGAAAGTATATTAAATAGCAATCTATGCATTTTAGAACTATAGTGCTCCACCTTGAGCTGTATGTTATGCTTTATCCACAAGTGCTATCCTGATTCAGTTTTGGTGGTCAAGAAGATTATCCAGTTGCTCTAGGTGGTTATACTAGAGTACTCTTGACTGCCCTAATCCCTAAGATCTCCCCCGGTCCTTAATGGGTTTGCTTCTCTATGTTTAGTTGGTTGTGTTCCGATATTTATAAAGAAATTTATTGTCTAAATACCTTTTTGGTATTGTCCGACTTCATCTATACACTAATCATTGATTTTGAATTCTCCTACAGGCCAGAGCTTTTTTCCTTTTTAGCACAACAGCTTCAATCGGCAGATATTCTTACTTCACATAGAATATTCATGATTCTTTACAGAACCTTGAAGGAGTTGTCTACAAAGAGGCTTACATCAGACCAAAGGACCTTTGCTGAGGTGCTGTTGGTTGTCTTCTTCCTGCATACTTTTAATATCTTTGAGCACCAAGTGAACTTATGAAAAGTTTGAAGGTTTGGTAGTGCATTAATATCTCCTCAACGCAACATGAAGTAATAGAATAATAAAGATATTTAGTCCTCACTTGTGAAGAGAACACTAAGAGATACGTGTCCTAGACTTAGCTAAAGATAGGACACAATGGAAGAAAAAGATCCATACAGGTGATAGCGCTACTTAGGGGTGTCAAATGGGCGGGTTGGGTTGAAATTAGAGATATTAAAATGGGTTGAAATAGAAATTGGGTTGGGTCATGACCCGCCCAAGTTTACTTTTGGCTCAAATGGGCTAAAAGTTGGGCTGGGTCATGACCCGCCCTATTTCAATAATTTTAACATATTGGTATTTAACTTTGCCACAATTTGAATTTCAACTCAAGAAAATTAAAAAAAAAAGTTAAAAATTGACAGATAAATCCTAATTCGTAAAAGATATAAAATAGATAGTAATCCATACCTTCAATATAGGTACATACACTATGTCAATGCAAATAAAGAGTCTTAAAACGGGTTGGGCGGGTTGCCTATAGTTGAGCTCATTTTTGACACCCCTAGCGCTACTAGTTGAAAGGTTTTAGACTTGGTAGAGAACTTCTATTATTATTATTATTATAATAATTTATATGCATATATTTTAACTTAATTTTTCACTTTTGTTTTATTTAGTTTGATGATGATATGTGCTTAAATGAAGAAGTGAGGATTCATATTGTTGACCCCAACTTGGTTGGACTGAGGCGTATTTGTTGTTGTTGGAGTCTTGTTTTGTCAAAATTAGGGTTCAATAACTGAGTTGTCTGTAAGAATCCAAATATTACATGGAATGCTTGCTGGTATCTATTTTGTAGAACCTTTCTACATTGTGTATAAATATAATATAATCTAAATTTAGTTTGAAGACAAGTATGCACATGCTTATATACTTGTAGATGCTTGTACATTGCATCTAATCATCAGCTAGTGTTGTTGCTTTTGTTATCATGAGGTCATCATATAATTTTACCTAGGTGTTAGAATGCCTACTCTTTGTCTGTGTAAAGCATACTTTTGCGTTTTATCAGTTCTTATTCTTTGGCACAGGCACAAGAAATTGCATGGGAGTGTAACTCTTAATGGCTGATATCCCTGCTTCATATGTCCAGTCACTTGCTGTTTTATTTTGCAGACTGCTTAGCTGACATCTCTTATTTTACATATTGGTTATTAGATGACAGCAGTTTTGAGTATCAAAGTAAACTATTATGTCCACGGTTTCCCAAATAATTTTCAGTCATCACATAATTGTCTCTTTGAGTCTGCTCTGGTCATAAACTTTGATATGATGGATTGGACTTGCTGAGGCGCCTCACTTGGTATTTCATGATCTTTTTAACAGATATGCACGCAGTTCTTCGATTATAGTTGGCATCTTTGGCAGACTGATGTGCAGACAATACTCCATGGTTTCTCAGCTCTTGCTCAAACCTTTGGGGGGGGTGCTGCTGAATTACATCATGATGATCTTTACTTAACATGTGAGAGATGGTTTCTATGTTCAAAGATAATAAGGCAGTTGATAATTTCTGGCTTTCCGAGTGATGCCAAAACCTTACAGGTATGGGTGAAAATTCATTCTTCACCCCCCCACCCCAAAGAGGAAAAAACATAAGAAAGATAAAGGAGGATTTCTAACTAATTCCCTTATTTCAGAGTAATTTATTGACTTTTTCTCTCTCTCTCTCCCCCCCCCCCCCCCCCTCTTCGCCGGGCG